TGCTCTGGCACCACTACCGTGGAGCTGGTCTGTGGGGGTTTGTGACCTTGGGTTATGCCCCGAGCTGCTCGCTGTAAGGCAGTCCACCAGCTCTCTGTGGGAAAAAGGGCGCTCCAACCTTGGAAAACCACAGGGGCAGCTCTACCCTGTCCTAAAGGGTCTCCAGAAAGTGAGTTTGGATTTCCTTTTACATGTAAAATAGGCACTGTTGGCTAACATTGGCTACAAAGACACAGGCGTCAGGTGTCGTGTCCTCCCCCCCACCCCCCCTCTGGGAGTCAGCAGTACCTGTGGTCTCAGCAGTGTGTGAGGGGCCAAGAGTGAAAGAAATCAAAGGCACATGGGAACAGTTAGTCCTCGGGCTGATGGACCCTGCAGACCTCAGCCTCCAAGACCCTGAGACCAGAAGAACTAGATGGACCCAGTTACCACAACCGACAGCTCTGAAAGGACACAACAGACAGTCCTAGACTGGGAGAGAAATAGGGAACAAGTTCCCCACAAATCCTAAACAACAGACCAGGTCTGCTAGTCCGATGGGGGCTGCAAGAACCCCAAGATGACGGCCCTTGGTTGTCCTTCAAGCCTGGAGCGGAACCCACTCCTACCGCTCCAGCTGCAGCTAAACAGGAGCCAGAGCCACCGGGCCTATCAGGTGACCAGAGCCTCCAGGGCGGTGCACAGCACACACCTTCGAGCAATCCACCCCTGAGATCACAGAGCAGCATCTGCCCAGGGATCAAGGTCAAGAGGCAGGAAGAAAGCGGAGGAGGACGCATACATGAATGAGTGATGAATCACTTGAACGCATAAATGAATCATAAAGTGGGGGTACTGGTGACACCTGCCTCAGAGGGTTGATAGAAAGCACGGTTGCGTGTACACAAAGTGCTTAAAACCAGGCTGGCATGCAGTCTATACTTTACAGTTGTTACCGACTGTTACAATTAACGAAAAAGAAGTTGAGATGCAGGTAAGAGTTTGTGTCCGGTGTGCAAAGCCAGGCAGCTTATCATTAGAAGGAGAGTGAACTGGGCTCTCTCGTGCTTCAAGATGAGCTCCCAGTTCACTAAGTGACGGCAGGAGAGGAGAGGTTTCACAAAGGCTTTAGTATGTGAACCTTGGAAGAAAGACAGCCTGGTGCTCCCCGCGCCCCATCTCCAATCCTCCGTTCCAGCCCCTGAGCCAAACCCAACC